CCATTGGTGAAACACTGATTACATAGCCTGTATTGAAATGTTTTGGAGCACTATGCAGTCAGCCTTCACATACTAAGCCATATTGGAATTTTGTGCACTCCCAGAAAAGCATGTGATATACTTAGGTGGCCTGGAATATGGGATGGTTCCTATAGCCAACAGTAGCTAAACTTGTCTGTCTTCAAGTTAATTTTTTTCTTAAATGGTGCATTTAACCATTTATGGACCATATGAAACAAACCAGTCCAATGAAAAATCCCCTGTAGATTCAGTTCAGTTCCTTGTTTACATGGGAAAACAGAACTTACTTGTTTCCGTTATTGATTTATAACTATCCTACCACCAGGAGAGCTAAGCCATAGGCAAACATTGAAGATAAGAATAAGAATTCATTTAAGATTATCTACTGTGCTGATCTTCATGTGTCACCAGCATTATTGATACTTTGATTGTTTAAGTCTTATTTCAGCAAGGAACTTAAGCATATGCCTAACTTTCAGCCCTAATCTTGTCCTGTTAATTTCCCTATGGTAGTACATGGTTACGGTTGCAGCATTAAAACCAGGAAATGTAAAAGTGAGGATTCCAAAAGCAACACTAACGTGGCCATGTTGTGCATCCCATATGCATATGCACTGCATTTTACATCATAGATATGAATTTAGTATTTAACCATTGCCACTGGGACCAGTCACTCCTGTTTCTGCTGTTTGCTCTGTGGGAAGTCCTTCAAATGGATCTCACTGCTTGAGTCACATTTTGAGAGGCATCTCTTAGGGATTCTTGCATAGGCTTACAAGAGAAAAATGTTGTTCTGTATGAACATAAGCTCCATGGGTACGTCTACACAGCAACATTATTTCAAAATACCTAGCATTATTTCGAAATAACATAGTCCGTATCTACACAGCAAGCAGTTATTTTGAAATAATGTCAACATACTGTCAAGCTGGGGGACTTCTTACTTTGACTCCTGTAACCCTCATTGTACAAGGAGTAAGGGAAGTTGGAGGAAGAGTGCTCTACTTCAAAATAAGTGCTGTGTAGACGTTCCCAATTTCAAAATAAGCTATTTCTAAATAAGCTACACAATTGACGTAGCTCAATTTGCATAGCTTATTTTGAGTTAAGACCTGCTTTGTAGATGCACTCCATGAGTCATGAAATATTGTAGATACATTTGATGGGAGATGCTAAAGAATGACCAGCAGATATAGCAACATTGCTATAAACACAGAGCCCATAAAAATTTGATTTGGAACTTTTAGAGCAATAGAAGAATATGCACTTACTTTTTCATTTACATCAGTATAGTTGCTCTTGTGTTTGAAACTGCTCTATGTAAGGACAGATACATTAGGCCTCATAGGTTTTCTTCTTGATGTTTATGGATGTGGATTGCAAACTTCTGGAGTTGTCTAAACTTTTCCTTATATTTTTCCTTCATTTAGGGAATACACAGAGCTGACTGCAGACTGGGTTCTAAAATAAATGTGTTTTATGTTCATTTTGCAGGTATGTTACTTCTCATTGTTATAGAATTTGTGACACGAGGTCTTTCTGTATGGAAATGGTTTTAACGGAAGAAAAGTATTTAGTAATTTACATGTGTTCAGTATGTCAGTGTTGGTAGACTTAAAATTAGACACTCCAGCTTTATGCTGCCTTTGTGGGAGTCTGTCACATTCTCCCCCTGTTCTCCCTGCCTCCGGAGTAAGGGTTATTTTAGAGTATTGTCCCATTCCACATGGGTACAGAGTACACAGTTAAGGTTGTGGAGCAACTCACATTATTCAGTGCAGATACGCCAGCAAAGGTATGTCTAGACTGCATCCCTCTGTCAGAAGAGGGATGCAGATTAGGCAGCTCAACATTGCAAATGAGGCAGGGATTTAAATATCCCGTGTCTAATTTGCATAAAAATGGCCACCACGTTCTGCCAACTCAGCACTTTGTCGGCAAAAAGCGGCAGTCTAGAGGGGGATCTGTCGAGAAAGAAAGCCTTTCTCGACAGATCCCTTATGCCTCCTTGCCTCCTTGCCTCCTTGCAGAAGGCATAAGGGATCTGTCGACAAAGGCTGTCTTTCTCGACAGATCCCCCTCTAGACTGCCGCTTTTTGCCGACAAAGTGCTGAGTTGGCAGAACGTGGTGGCCATTTTTATGCAAATTAGACACGGGATATTTAAATCCCTGCCTCATTTGCAATGTTGAGCTGCCTAATCTGCATCCCTCTGCCGACAGAGGGATGCAGTCTAGACATATCCCAATAGCAAGCAGCCACATCAAGCTGCATTCATTGTGAATGGGCTGTTCATAGCAACTTAAAGATAACGTGCAAGTGTTTTATTTTTTAAGATCCATCACGGTTATTAAAATAACCATGATATGCCATTCTTGCAACATATTAATTTTTGTTTTTCTCCTCCTCAGGCCTACACTGCATTTATTTTCTGATCACATTCTTTTTACTCCAGTGAGAAGGCCCAAAATACACTGAGGTGGTGATAGGATCACCCGCAGTGGAACAGACACTTCAAGTCCTATAGCTCCCCCCTTTTTTTTATTTAACCATGGAGGTTTTCCTTCAGAATTCTATTAGAGGATCATTCAGTAATGAGAACTTATCTTGTCTTCTACTGTTCTGTGCTACCTTTAGGTAAGATTTCTCAGGCCCTCCTTTCTGTTTCAGAATCATTTCCTCTTTGGTTAGAGAGATTTGTATATAAAAATAAAGATTTCTCAACAATAACAAATCCTAAAAGTAGGGCTGTCGATTTATGCATATTAACACCCACAATTAACGCAGAGCACAATTAACATGCATTAATAGCAGGCATTTCTGCAGCACTGCCACTGCGTTTCAAAGGGGAGTGGGATCAGCTGGAGTCCTCATCTGACTCCAGGCTCCATGCAGCACTGCCCCAGAGCTAGAGACTCCAGCTGACCCCAGGCTCCACGTTGCACTGCTCCTTTGAAACACTGTGGCAACATTTCAAAGGGGCAGCATTGCACAGCTGATCCCGGGCTTCCACGGCGCTGCCTCTTTGAAATGCTGTGGTGGCGTTTCAAAGGAGCAGCACAACACAGAGCCTGGGGTTAGCTGGAGTCTTCTTATTGTTTAACAGTGTGATTAATCATTAATTATTTGGGATGAGAGTAAAGATTTTATACTTATTCATCAGTTTTTAGTTATTTGTAGTAAAGATAGTGCTATGAGAGGCCTAGCTGAGATCATAGTCTCATCTTGCTTGACACTGTAGAAGTAGGCAACAAACCCCAGAATTGAAAATCTAAATGGACAAGACACCAATTGATGGGAGAAATGAAGAATTTAGTGTCCACATTTTCAGATGTGAAACACACGCACAAAGATATTTAAGTGATTCATTGTGGGTGACACAGGAAGATTTTGCCAAAGCCAGGAATTGAGGTTACATCTCCTAAATCAGTGCCATAGCTAAAAGATTACCCGCCCGCTCATGCACTTCTCCAGCATTCTGCCATTTGTTTAATTTGAGGCCCCATTCTAGAACAACTTACTTTTGGCTCGAGTTAGTGAGACACTGAATTTTTCCCTGTTCTAAGAAAAATGTTGATATTTAAATACTGTGACAAAAACTCAAATCACAAATTCACACGGACCAAAAATGCAAAAACATTTTGGGATTGAGTTAAGATATTTTGTTTCAATAATTTCAAAATGTTTCATTTCTGTGTTGATTTTTTTATACATGTTTGATACTTTATAATTTTAAAATTATTTAGAAAATGTCAAAATCACACTGTGGCGGGTTTCCGGGTGCGAGCGTTGACAAAAACTCAAATCACAAATTCACACGGACCAAAAATGCAAAAACATTTTGGGATTGAGTTAAGATATTTTGTTTCAATAATTTCAAAATGTTTCATTTCTGTGTTGATTTTTTTATACATGTTTGATACTTTATAATTTTAAAATTATTTAGAAAATGTCAAAATCACACTGTGGCGGGTTTCCGGGTGCGAGCGTCTCGCGCC